TATTCTACCGGGCCTTCGTTTACAATTTCCGGCATGCCCTCAAAGAAAGGCGGTGCTGTTATTACGAAGTTCTCGGGGATCTCTAGTTTATTTTGCTGAACAATGTGCTCATCGACCCATGCTTGCTCTTTTTCAATTATACTTCTGTAATGATCCTCTCCCTTATCTTCGGGAAACTTGCTTGCTTTATCTCCTAGGATAAGACCGTTGTTAAATGCTCGTGTAATAGCTAACCATTCCGGGTCATATTCAAACTTTGGTTTAGCTCGTGGAGTAGTTGTCGAAGTCTTTTCCGAGCTGTCATAGCGCTGTACCTCTAGGAGCTGTAGAAATTTACGACCTGGTAAACACTTATCTAGAGCAAGAAATCGGACTGCTTTGTTTGTGATTTCGGGTGGTGTTGGCTGTCCTGGCTGTACCCTAGGCTCTCGATGAGCTGAGGGTGCTGGTTTTGAGAAAGCAGCGGGTAATTGGGCTCGGATATCAGATGGGACTGATGACGGGATGGATTCTTCTATGGCTGTTGGTATTTGCTTGCTTTCAGTATTGACCATTGTGGTAGCAATATGCTTTGGTGTATCCGTAACCGATGGGCTATCATCATCATCCATATCAAGGTCAATCTCATCATCATTATGTGGTACTATAGGCAGGTTCTCTGTTGCATCTTCGATGTCCACCGGGGTCGCGACTTCGGCAGTTTTCACTTCTTCCTTTGGTTCCTCCGCGGCGTTTGATTTTGAAGCGTTCTCGTAGGTTTTTACCGCAGAGAATTTGCAGTGTAAATGCGCGGCAAACCAATAAGGTGGCCTTAGACGATCCATAACATAACTCGCGGCCAAATTTCCCAGCGATCCGTCATTAGATTCTCTCTCGAAATCTGGTTTCATATTCCACAGCCTCTTCATATCTCCATGCTTCTCAACAGCTCTTGGCCAATCATGACTGATCCCAATATCAACCTGGGTTCCTATTTGTAGTAACTTCCTGATATCGTATTCGCGAACATGATATATCGACTTGACATCATCCTGGTTGTATGGCAATCGTTCATAATGACTTTTGTTGTAATTGTAACCTTTCCAGATTCCACTCATACCAGCGATTCGCACTCCGCCTAATCGTACCACATTTGCAGCACCCATATAGTAGATGTTCGGCGCAACCCATCCTCCATAATAAAGCTCCCATAAATGACTGCTAGCTTCGTGATTGCCGCCAACGAAAATGGTGAGGTATGGAGCTTTCTTGATTCCGCTATAATATGCGTGGAAATCGCCGATTTCTCGATATTTGACAGGACACGACATTACTGTAAGGTCATTTGCGTTTCTTACTGCCTGGAATAGTCAGCAAAAGAATTCGATTGTGGATAATAACGGATTTTGTCGTACCTGGAAGTCCCCTCCAATGATGAGGAGATCAACGCCATCCCAACTTCGAGCTTCGCAAGCTTTCTCTATTGAAGAATATATTGCATTGAGAGTGCCATGGCCCTATTGGAAGATTCAGCAGAATGGCAGAGTAGATTGATCAAGATGCCTTGGAACTTACGCATCCCTCTACAGCGACGCGCAAACCATTCACTTCTTGAATGGAGGCAGCCATTTTGGGCAGTCCCCTAGGTGACTTCTTGCTGGATAATTTACGAGTAATTATGTAGCTGTAGCTTCTTACCCTACGCAGAAAAGATGACTCTCGTATTCGCACAATGTTTCGCAGATGGTTACAGTTGAAAAATAATTTCATTCTATGTTCATCAGTTCGCTTGCTTGCTTTGGTCTAAAAGGTTATCTCTCAAGCGCAAACCGAAAATCATAATTTATCAAAATTTCTCTTCACACAACGCGTCATAACTTCAAACCTCAGACTCTCAATACTACTTCATAAGAACTATGGCAGACTTAGAATTAGCGGCGCGTCTACGATATTTGAACGAGTCGGCACATTTCCTGGCAAAATCGGCACCTACGACATCAAAATATCTAGTGTCGCAATGTAATTCTCTAATGTTTGATCACGAGATTGAGCAACCGGATTTGTCAAAACGAGGATCGTGCAGTGCTTGCGGGAGTATTATAATATTGGGATCTGAAGGCAAATTGGAAGTCAAATCGCAAAGCCTTAAAAAGAAGCCAATTCGAAAAAGGGCAAAAGGAGCCTCCAGTGTGGAAAAGGCGATGATATATATATGTGGTTCTTGCAACAAGATGACCAGACATCGCTTGGATCCAGCTCCTGTGGCATCTAGGTCTAAGCATGGTGCAGTTCAGCATGGAGTTGTCTCGAAACCCAATCCCTTACCAGCGCAGAACTTGACAACTGCGAATACCATGGGTACATCTTCTACAAATGCAAGTAGCAAGAAAAGGGCCAAGAATCGCAAGCTCGGTGGGCTTGGAGCATTGCTAGCAAAGCAAAAAGCATCACAGACAGGTCCATCTGGGTTCGGTCTTGATTTGATGGATTTGATGAAGAAGAGTTGAACATTCCAAGGTGTCTCATGTTTTTCTCGAAATTGTCATCAACATTCGTTATGCATCAATTAGATGTGGGCGGAGAGATCGTCACCGTGGGATATCCGTACTTTATACACAACGCCATGTTATTGTCAACATAGACACTTCGGTCTTCGGAGCCAGATATTCATCGCAGTATTGAGCTTTGGCCGTACAAACATGATTCGAATTAATGCGGCATTGTGTTAATACTTATCCAGAGAACCATTAAGCTCTCTCCGTCAGGGCAAATTTTGGGATTAACCATATGCTACGACAATGTGTGACTCCCTATGATGGACGTCAAGTTCTTGGTTCAGTCACAAGAATCCAATATATCAACAAGACGACGATAAAACACGAGATACAACACAAGATACCAAATCCCCATGATCATATAACAATTAACAATTTTTCTTGGACCCCTTCATCAATGACAAACCAGACCTTCCACTGCTTTCTCGGACTTTCAGCCTGACGCCTGATGAGGTAACGCGCCCCGCTAAAATTTTATAACCGGGGTAGAATCTTATCAGACAAATCGAAAAATATAACTTCTCGACCCCTCATAAACAATTGCCCCTCCAATTTTTTACAATCATTATTGTGCGTCATATTAAAATTTACACAAATTTAATCAACAACAGAAATTCAGATATTATGGCCGATACAAACCAAACCGAAACAAAGCCAGACGGTGCTGTCTTCGACGATTATTTTGAGAGCTTGGGTAAGAAGGCACAAAACCTTTCAGCCAACGATCAAAATGATGGTGTCGCAACCAACAGCACATTGGAGTCAGATGAAGAACAGAGAGTAGTGGATGAAATCGAGTCATTATGTATGAACTGCCACGAAAATGTAAGTTTCGCAGCCATCTACATCAATAATATCTACTAATTCTCCACTCTTAGGGAATCACCCGATTACTCCTCACACGAATCCCTTACTTCCGCGAAATCATCCTCATGTCCTTTTTCTGTCCCCATTGCAGTTTCAAAAATTCCGAGATCCAATCTGCTGGAGAGATTCAACAGAAAGGATCAAGATTTGAATTGCGCCTCACCACTCTCGAAGACTTCGCCAGACAAGTAGTAAAATCTGATACTTGTACTGTAAAATTCATTGAGTTGGATCTCGAAGTCCCAGAAGGACGAGGACAATTGACCAATGTAGAAGGCCTTTTGAGCATGATTCTTGATGATCTTGCTCTCAAACAACCAGAAAGAAAGGAGCAAATCCCAGAAGTTTACGAAAAGATCGAAGATGTCATTACCAGAGGCCGAAAGATGCTCGCAGGCGAGGCCTTCCCTTTCAGATTATCTCTTGATGATCCAGCAGGAAATTCATGGATTGAGCCAGACCAAAAGGATGGTGTCGGAAAGCTCGCCAAGGTTCAATACCCAAGAACCCCAGAACAAAATGAAGCTCTTGGTCTCAGTGGTGAACAAGCTACTGAAGCCACAACTGGAGGACAACCTACCGCCGCAAGTTTCGAAGACGATGATATCATCCCCAATGAAGTTTATTCTTTCCCAGCTACCTGTCCTGGATGCACAAGGCATTGTGTCACGCATATGAAGATGGTTGAAATCCCACATTTCAAACAAGTTGTCATTATGAGTACCGTATGTGAACATTGCGGATATCGTTCGAACGAGGTCAAGACTGGAGGTGAGGTTCCAGAGAAGGGTAAATGCATTACTCTTAAGGTAGAGAGTGCCGTAGATCTAGCCAGAGATATCCTCAAGTCAGAGTCATGCGCATTGGAATGCCCTGAACTCAAACTATCGGTTAACCCTGGAACTCTAGGAGGAAGATTCACCACGGTTGAAGGTTTACTTACACAAGTACGGGATGATCTACATCAACAAATCTTCGATGTTGGTGATGCCGGAGAAGGTGGAGATGGTATGGAATCAGAATCTAAGAAGAACTGGAAGATATTCTTTGACGGTATTGACGAGGCCATCAAGGGCGAAAGAAAATTTACCATTATCCTCAGAGATCCGCTGGCTAGTAGTTACGTACAGAATTTGTATCTGCCAGATGATGATCCATCGATCACGACTGAAGAATATGAGAGAACAGAGGAGGAGGAGGAAGATCTAGGTCTCTCTGACATGAAGACCGAAGGCTATGTAGATGAGGTTGGCGACGAGAAGAGGAGAGTAGAGGCCGAGAAAGCTGCGGCGGAAGAGAAAAAGGACTAAACATCTTAAGATGCTTATCCGAAACCAAAAACGTCTGATTTTTTAGAATAATGATATCCACCAATTACAAAGCCTGGCTTATGCTACATTTCTGCTTTCTTACCTGCGTGTATGGCGAGTGCCTCAAAATCTCACACATAATTTATCATGCCTGTGTATTGGAGACGAGTATCAGGATTTATTCCACTCTCTGAGCCCAACTTTATTGATAGCCGCAGCTACTGCAGTAGCGCAGTTAAAAGATAGCTGGGCCCGCTTAAATCGGGTTTGCCAATCAGGAAGTAGTGGAATGTCACTGGTACAGACGAACGCTTGGGCCAAGTCTAGACGAAATCCCCTACAAAGTCACAGCTATCTTCCTATGTATACCTACTCTCAATTCCTCCTACAACTCAATAAAATAGCTCTTTTCATATGAATCTTTCTCTATATACTCGAAGCTTTCTACGGAAAACGATATCTGGAAGGTCAACAAGTCAAATGAGTCTTCTTACACCAATCGCCCGGGAGTTTCGAACGTTAGCACAATGTCCACAACTTGCCATTGCTGAAGCAGAGGACGATATCGATATTAGAACTAAATATCGTCCTTTCTTGCTAGATCCTGAAACGGAAGCTACAGATTGGATTTCTCAGTTGGAGTTGAACTCTGTAGTTACCCAAGTGGAAGAAAACTTAGTGAAGACTAGCTCTAGACTAAAAGTCTTAGTTCTCTATGGAAGTTTGCGGCAACGGTATGCTTGCACTTGCTATGCTTCGTGTACGAAATATATCTAACAAAATACCAAGATCCTATTCGAAATTAATGGCTTTTGAAGCTTCCCGAATTCTCCACCGTCTCGGCTGCGATGTTCGAATGTTCAACCCAAAAGATCTTCCCATTCGAGACTCAGTCGATGCCTCTCATCCCTCAGTCCAAGAACTCCGAGAACTTTCCCTTTGGTCCGATGGCCATATTTGGTGTTCCCCCGAACAACATGGAAATCTAACTGCTGTTTTCAAGAACCAAATTGATTGGATCCCACTTGCCACCGGCTCGGTTCGTCCAACTCAAGGCCGCACGTTATCGGTAATCCAAGTTAATGGCGGCTCTCAAAGCTTCAACGCAGTCAATAGTCTTAGGATTTTGGGGAGATGGATGAGAATGTTCACATGTCCTAATCAGAGTAGTTTGCCGATGGCGTGGAAACAATTCGAAGACGAGGGGGGCGATGGCAGTGGAAAGGCGAGATTACTGCCAAGTGGAAATAGAGAGAGGTTGGTTGATTGTATGGAGGAGTTTGTTAGATATACGATTATCATGAGGCCTCACTTTGAGATTTTCGGGGATAGATTCAGTGAGAGAAAGGAGAGAGCAGAGAAGGAGAGGAAGAAAAATGAAGTTCCTGTAGATAAGATTTGAGATGTAGATTTCGCTTCAGTACAACAATTATAGAATGAGCTTTGGGTTTTTCCTTGCGTCAATAATTTTTATCGTCTCACTCTCTCCAAGCCAAGCCCGCTATTCTACGCCAGCTGTTCACTCCTCATATCAATCTATAATCGCCCTCCCCCGCCCTTCGCCATTACTCTGTAGTGCTTCTCCCACTTCAAGACCTCTCAATACCTTCAATAACACTTCATTTCCTACTCTATAATCACCAGACTCTCTATTGCCTCAAAAGTCTATCTCATACACGAATAGCGAGCTCCAAATTTGAGAACCAATAATGAATGCACGGATTCTTGAGGCGATGAGAGCGTTGGACTTGGGGATAGAATTTGAGGTATTGTCTCCAATATTTTGAGATTTGGTATAAGTGACTAAGCTATATCAAGCGTTGGATTGACTGGTTTCATGTGATATATGTGCTGAAAGACTATTATTGGTATCACCTCGTTGATGATTATAGCGTCTTTATAATAGGTTTAATATATTGATTGATTTTGCGTGTTTTTTAATCGAAAGGTTGAATTGTATTGAAAGTTTTTGAAAAAGGAATAAAGGCTCTACGACTCCGTAAACTAGGACAGACTAATCGGAAATAAAATTCCGAAGCGAATTCCAAATGCGAACTATCATTTAAGACGTCTTATAAGTCGCAAAATGGAATTGTATTAAAGAATGAGGCTAATCGATACTGCTACGACACCAATTTCCATCAATAAACCTATAAAACTTGAAAGGAATAAAAAGAGAGTAGAAACCATATCCCTTTATTCTTGTGTATGTTACCAAAAAAGGAATAAACGCATACCGAAAAGGAGAGTTCAAGTTGATTCTTATTCCTGATAAAATGGAAGCTATCTAAGGTACTAGAATTTTCTTGATTTAACGCTAGAGTGCACTGGAGTATTCACTGTTTAGTAACATTATATGCACGAGGAAAGAGATGAAAACAAGCAGCTTACAAGCAAATACAATGACCTTTCTTAAGTTGGACGATCACAAACCTCCGTGCTTTTGTATATACCTCTTCTCCATGCTTTTCTCTAACTAACCATACGGTCCTCCCACTTGCGTCGCCCGTTTGGTACAGACCAAAGAACTTTGTAGACCTAGCAGATTTAATTTCGAATCTATGAAACGAAAATACGATGTAAGACTTACCTTCCCAAATTTAGATTCGCGGGCCGAGTGTACTCTATAATCTACTAGAACTTGATGGGTAGATATATTTCTGGTGATGGAAGTACTCACTTGGATCAAAGTTCTTATGTTGAGTACTGATATATTTTGGTCTAGAGTTTATAGTTATATCCTTCCATCCGATCGGCAGGCTAATGTACAGTTAGCCGTCCGCAGACATCTGATGAGAAGGAAACCTACTGTTGTCACATCATATTCAGTATCATAAATCCATCTTTCCAGCTGGTATTGAATCATCACCGGAGGGTTATCGAGTGCGGCAGTAAAATTGTTGTTATACTCTAGATTAGCTACTGGCTCGCAATCCGTAGTGGTTAGCGAGTCAGTAAGTGCTTTTTCATTCTTGTTATCTCTTGTATAGTTCTGGTCAACCGAACATTGAGTTTTATTTTCAGATACTGTGTTCAGCTGTAAAGTATCATCGGATCTGGCGATGTTTGCAGCGATAGATGAGGTCGAAGTTGGTAGGTCGCCCTCGAATTTCCAATCGGTTTCCCCCCTGGAATTGGTGCGATAAGATTGCCATTGCTTTCTATCCTCACTCCATTCCCATTCACTCCATGAAGTCACATTTGACTTTCGATGACCACCATTACGATTTGCATGGATCGGCACGACTTCCTCGGCTGGTTGGAATGGGCCGGAACGCACAAAAAGAGGATCTTGGGAAAAGCTCATCCGCAGTTTGCTTTTAGTACTGTTTTGAAGAGACATCCTATCAAATTCTTGGATACATTTAGTGGCGGAGGAAACATCCACAAATTCCACGAAACATATCGGACGCTGCTGCTTGGATCGAAAATGTAAACGTTCAAAGCCTCTCCGCTCAGAAAATATTGCCGTTAGTTCGTCCTGGGATGTATCCCTCGGAATATTTACCACGATAAGAGTATTAGAAGGGGGATTCTGACCCAGAGAATTGATCGTTGGGAAATGATGACGCTGGTTATCCTGATTTCTTCGTAGAATTCCGTCAAACAAGCCGCGACCAGTCAGTGTGATATTATCAGGAATGTTTCCGATGGTAGGCTAAGGAGAAAATAGGCTTTTATTATACTCTATTGATGAAGGATTGAACTGCTCAATTCCTGTTTGAGCTCCGAGGGTAACAGCAAACTTCGAAAGTAAACACAGATTCAGTCCACCTAGAGAGCCTGGTGATGATACAGAAACTGGATCGTTGATCGAAGCTAGAATTTGTTTAGCCTTATCTGCCACGCCACTATTATCTTTCTGGGAGTAATGAGCGACAATGCTATCCATCAATAGCACTGGGTTGGGCAAAGATAAGTCTTGCGCTCCAAAAGCGGAGCTAATTTGGTGGAATGTGTTCTGCAAAGGAACTACATAAGCCTCGCCAAGCGGATTTGATGCAACTACGTGGCCATAGACTTCCAGCGTCTCTTGATCCACGATTAGTGAGCCACAATCTCCATCAATGACACCTGGATATGTATTTTCAGCTAAAGTTTCGCCCCGAAAGCTTTCAACTCACAGCTACAATCAGATAAAATTACGTTCCACGCCTGACATAGATCTTCACCCGGTTTACCTCCAATGTAGGAGCTTCTATTAAGCATTACACCTTTTCTTGTTCCGCTCACGCCAGAGATCATGAACACTTTGACATCACTAGTTTTTGGTGCTGCCGCAAGTATCCCAAAAAACTTGGGATTTGTGGGATCATCCTCGGAAAAGAATGCGTTAGGTCGCTCATAGTATCCATCGTCAAACTCTATCAAGGCCCAGTCGAGGTATGCCGTCGTCGCATCTGTTTTGAACATTGAATCTGCCTTGTGGCCATTTATAGATTCACCAAAATCTTCATTCGGCTCGCGATCCATGGTTATTTTTGCATGTGATCCTCCGGATGACACTGATTCAGCGTCCGAAACACATTCGGCATTATCAAAGTCTTCGTAATTCACATCATCAATCCATGACCACTCTGGCTCACTATCATCGTAGTCATCTTCATCATACAGAACCTCTGCTTCGTTTGCCGTCATTGGTTGTTCTTCGCCCTGCTGATCCTTGAACAAATGATCCACAGTCAAACCATATAGCTTAAAGTCCATACTAATAAGCAGCCCTAGAGTCGAGGTACGATCACCATACTTTATCAATGATCCACACATTGTGAGAGACGAATGGTTCCTGGCAACCACTTGCTCCATTGCGGAATTTCGTAGGGTGGGCGAGTTTACCACCCTCCAGTAGACGACATTGAAAGGTACTACAATAGTAGCAGATACTTGTGGATGAGTCTTGCTAGGCGCCAATTGAAATTTGTCCCAAAAAGAAGGATTCTTCAGCTGATATTGTAGACGTATGTGCTTGCTGCCCAATAATGATCTTAGGTCATTGAAAATGGCTTTAGCGCAAAAAATTACGACCGAGGCAACTGCGTTTGCTGGAGTGCTTCCACATAAAAGTAACTCATAGTTGATCTTTGAAGTGTGTTTTCTTAGCTCCTTGTCAGTATCCACAGCCCACTTAAAAAAATCGACAAGTTGTGGATATCGCTCTCGGAATTCCGGTTTAATTGTTGCATGACGGTAGATATTCTGGTCTGTACGAGGTACCCTTTTTGGATCAGAATAATCTAAAGAGGCCACTGGGCTGTGCTGCACAGTGGGTATTGTAGTATTAGCGTGAACAGGATTCTGCGAGGTATTCGGGCTATTTTCCGGCGTGGATTTTCTCTGCAAAGTAGGAGATGCAATGACTGCCTGAAGAGGGTCCTGCGAGACACCCGGGAAGCTTTCTGGTGAGGGCGTCTGTATGATACGGCGGACAGCCTGGAAAGGGTTTTGTCAGTCATTATGACAGTTTTCCTGTGGGGGGCAAGGATGTCCTTCTCTTGGTTTACCACCTTCAGGTTGGCAATAGATTGTACTTACGTGTGATTGAACGTTTTGTGACTCAAGAGACTTTGGGGTGGCAGTCTTGCCGCTGGTAAATGGCAGTTGCCATACATTGTTGATATTGTTCAACGGCTGGTTCGTGTTTAAGATCTCTATTGAGCCGCGCTCAAGCAGAGTCTCAGATTTCATATTTTCAAACATAATTAAAGTGTATGAAGCTTCGAATTTGACTTGATATTGCCACTTTATTGGCGCGAGAACTGTTGAGATGAAAAGTTGATGAGAATTTGGAAGAGGCTGGTTCAAGAGGTTACATTGAGGCAGTGTTGAGAGGTAAGCTGAACAATACCCCCAGCATTTGTGGCTTGGACGGTGCCGAAGGACCTTCCAATCAATACAGTAGAACCTCGAAATGCTGTTGCAACTGTCAGACATATACATCAAGCTTTCGTTTCAAACTACATTCTTGAAGAATAATATATCTTCCAAAATGCGACCTGCCACTGTAAACGAAAAGAAGCTAATTGCGAAAGACCTTGTCGGCGCCGAAGAAAAGCTTCATTCATCCAGTACATACTTCCAAATCTACGACCGTTTGACGAGTCCCCAATATGCAACGGTCCAGGTTCATCCTTCTGCCTTGAATTCTCACGATGACATTCGAAGATTAGCCCTTGAATTGAGGGCAAATCCACAAAGCACACGCGAAGAATTTAGAGCTAAAGTATTTCCAAATAGTTCGACAGATCCAGAGCTTGTAATCGACCAGGAGCGTGCTATTAATGTCGCTGTGCAGATTATGTTGATGATCGATTGCACTGATAAAGATCGTCATTATGAAGGCTACGAGATAGGCGGCTTCCGGCCAGTCAGTTGGGATAGCTCAGAGCAGTTCGCCGATTTTGTTAAGAAAGTGTTTCCAATAGACGTTCACGATCAGGAGAAAGTTCGAACGGCATTGAAAGAGAAGAATGCGTTGAAATGTTGGAAATTAAGCAAGCGAGCACATATCAAATTCCTTCCAACAGACAACATAGCAGAGCATCTTCTATATGACCCCAGAGACAATGTCGTTCGTCTCTTCCGTCAAACGGCATTTCTAAAAGCTCATCTCCGACTTTCAGCCAGCCAACCTATCGAGCTTGGAATTACTCAAAGTCTCAAAGTGTGAGATTTATATTTTATCAATCTTGAAATCCCACTTCCATGAGCTCATCCTAACTTGAGTCTTTAGAGGGACATTACCACCGCAGCTGCTTCTGGAAACTTTACATTCCTTGCAATGTATACTGTTCCCTCCAGCTGATGAAAAGTCGTTTCGATTTCTGGAGAACATTATTCAAGATACAGAACCAAATTTTGACTCCGATTGTCTGCTTTACGAAGGATATAGCAGACCGGTACCGGAAAACTTTGAATATCATTACTGGGGTGATCGGCTTGCCGAGCTGAATTATCTTGTGACACATCCAAGGTCGAGTCATCGCATTGGTCAGTGGATACAAAGAAATGCTTCAGAGAGGAACGCCTTGTTTGTAGCAATTTTGTCCCTTGTTCTCTCGGCATTATTCGGTTTCTTGAGCGTTATTCTAGGAATATTTCAGGCATGGGTGGCATATATGTCTTGGAAAGCGCAGGTGAATGCTCCGCAAGCTTCGCAAGCTCCGTGATATGTTGATGTTGGGTGCGCAGGAGGACCTGCGAATTAACGAAAAATGCCTTTAAGACAACAAGACTTCGACATGTGGTTTCAAAAAAGAATTGATTTGGCAGTACTTTCTTGAAAGTGCTCGTGGACGAGAGCGAGCGCGATGAGGGGCTCAATGGAGCAAAAGGGGGTGACGGTGCGGAAGGCGCTAGGGTAATGATGATTGATAATCATGGCAACAGGGTGGAGAGGTTCAATCGGGGCAGATGAAATGAAGGACCTTATTGTTTGAAACGAGATGAAATGCTTGAATATTTTAATTCAGGATCGTACTCGATCGTGTCTGACCCATTCCACTAAGACCCATCTCGCTACCCCTTTTCCAGGCCCTCTGCCCCACATCTACTTTGCCAGAGAAGCTTGCTAGTGAATCGTGAAACTATAAATGCTCTAGCGAGCCATATAAGCAGGAATAAATAGGTAAAATGAACAGTTTTCGAAAATTGCCCAAACCGAGACCACGCAGCATGGAAGAGAGACGAGGGCTTTGCACCTCTAAAATACTAGCTTCTAGGTTACTCCAGTCCGGAAAAGCTTGATGAAACTATACCAGATGCGTATTGGTTCCAGGAGTCGATTAGACAAAATGGCGATACAGACTTCAGATTGAACACACATATATTGGCAAACTCACATATGGCTCTTATATATGTCCTCGCTCGGGTACTGTGTTTTGACAATACCCAACTTTGTGTTATGACTAACAAATATACTACATGCACTTGCTATTTGCACTCGTCTGCCGGTAAATTATTCGTGTTTATGGTGACTTGAATCAAATGCTCGTGCTGGCTGGTCAGGGGTTACTTTTTGGGCTGAGTTGATTTCTGGAGGGTAGATGAGGAGTAAATTAAGGTTGTTGTTTTGAAATTCGTGGATTTTTATGCTTCTTAAGACTTGATATAAGAATCGGGTATTTCATGGATGTAGTCTTGGATATAAGTTTTAGTGAGGGGATTATGTCGATTAAGCAATGGTCTGGCGATCAATGTACGCTAAGGTTTTAATGTATCGTTTCATGGCTTAGATCATGGAGCCAAATTGATTGTACACCAACAAGATTCGGCAAAATAATTCAGCCGCCTTGAGAAGGAGGTGATTGGGAGAAAATAATTGCTTCAGTCAAGTCTTGTAGATTTGAGGGGTATAAATACGAGTTGAAACTCCCCCTTCCCAACTACGACCTAACCATTACAGATTCTATGAAACCCGTTACTCAAAATCCAAAGCTATACATAACCCTAAATTCAATTGTCTAACCCATGATCCATGACCCATGACCCACGACCCTTAACACCGAAAAATCAGCCCACTCCAGTTAGCCTGCTTGCACGATTCTACTATCATCCTTGTCATCATCACCATTACACGTCTTTTTCGCTTTCGCATTCAAATCAGCGCCACTTGCTAATAGCAACTGAACTCCAACGTCGAAGCCTTTTTCAATAGCAATATGTAGAGCAGTCCAACCCATGTCATCATACGCATCAATGCCTTGCTCCCAATCTCTCTCGTCGTATTCCCACAAAAGCAACCGTAGAACGCCTTGATGCTGATTCATAGTAGCCCAATACAATGCCGATCGTCCCCGTCGGTCGACATCACTGATGCGAGCGCCGTGTGCAAGAAGTAGACTGACTACAGGTTCGTGCCCGTCTATTGAAGCATGAATTAAAGCTGTTCGCATGTCACTATCCTTCTCATTGCAGTCGATATTGTGCGAAATAAGGGTGCGGACTATCGGCTCATGACCTCGGCGAGCGGCGATGTGTAGCGGACTGAGCCATCCTTTGCTTTGCGCATCTGGTTTGGGTAATACTGAAGTGAGTCGATCTTTTGTCAAGCTCGATTGACTGGTATCGCTGCAATTGTGCGGTATCAAGGCCATGCCCGGATGAATGTGCGGTTCATGCCCAGAGCCTTTATGCTGTGCATGATCGGAGCGGGTGGGTGAAAATACACCTCCCAGGGCCCCATAGAAGTTGAAGGAGTCTGAGCTCATAGGGCTAGCCGATGGCGTCCTTGATGTTCTCAGATCAATGAAGTCTAAGTTCTGGTCGAAATTGGCTTGAAAGTCAGTCATCGGCGGTGTCGAAAACGAACTATGGCTGCCTGGTATTAAGCTGTCCATGAAACTGATATCTTCTAGCCCTTGAAAACCATTATTGGGTGTATCATTTGGGGAGCTGGCCGTCGAACTACCAGATGTTTGTGCAGAAGTGACTACCCTGGTGAGATACTCGGACGAATTTGTACCAAGGTTTGTGGAATCTTGAAGATTTGGGACTTCTAGCAGATCCGTTTCAGTAATCGAAGCAGAATCTCTAGTGGATACTGGCTGGCTGCTATCGTCAAGCGCAAATTTTGATGTCTTGCGCAACTCTGTTCTCCTGATTGGACCGCTGCCCACAGACTGTAGGTTGGTCAAGATGGTAATAGTACTCACGACGAAATTTGCGTTTGGCAATGCGATTCTGTGATCTGCGACGATGAACAGGGTCAATCTTCCATTCAATGTCCACCTCGACCATTGTTGCGATCCAAAAGAGAGTCAACTATATATTCATCCTAGGCCTCAAAAGAGGTTGTGACCTTAGGGAATCTCGGAACCAATATAGTGTTTGCTCACATTGAACGTTTTCCGAAGTTCATCGTTATCGGCCTTGCACCACATTTGCTGACGGGCAGGGGTGATCCTAAAGATAGGCATGCATGTAGGATTTCACCCTAGAAATCTCGGAGCTGGATTTAAGACGCTGTGCTGGGCCAGGACACCGGGTACACTATGGCTATTTGCCGCCCACGATTAATCCTCATTCTAATTGGATGTCGAAATTATTGGGAACCAGAAACGGTCGGTCGGATGGTACGAGCTATTTTATGTAGGAGAGTAGATACCACACAGGCCTGGCGTGATACGGGAGGAAAAAGTGGAGCTAGCTAGGTTTAGGCGGATGAAGATTCGAAAGACTAGCTGTTTAGCGATGACACAATATTAAAGTTTCTGGAGATATTCACACCCTTGATTATTTACAACGTATGCGTGTACTATGAGACAAGATGGAAACTCAAGCAAAAGAACTAGATCACATGACTTGACATTTGATACAGGTCAGTGCTTGCGGAGGTTGATGGCGTAAAGTCTGTTAAAAAGCAGTAGTTAGAGCTTTCGCTATTTTAATAATATAGACTGTAATGTTATTATTACTATAATGACCAAAAATTAAAGGGCAATAGAGCAAATTATAGATATCTAGTAAAAGTATTATAAATTATTTTTATCTTTAATGAAATTATCAGAATTATCAAAATTATCAAAATTAATAATTCTCGGATGATAACATCTTATCAGCCTCTATGTGTCTCGAGTGTGTGTACCTTATCGCCGGTTTTGTTGCCGCTTTAAATGTAGAATGTCACTTGATGAAACAGTGCAGGAAAAGACTCTAAAATTTACTAAAGTAGAAGCGCCAGGTAGAAATTGCTAGGAATACAAAAGTGTCAACAACGTGTATCTGGCTATGGGAGCTTTGACACGAGTTTCTCGCACAGTGCAATAAGTGAACTGGCATTAGTAATGCAAGTGTCGTTAGTTCGGCCCCAAGCTCAATACGAATCCAATTCCGTAGCTCGACTGCTGCGAGCGAATCCAATCCATATGATATCAGGGGTTTGGCCTTTTCCATCTCGGTTTCCAGCCGTAAGATCTTGGTAAATTGCGTTGCGATCACCTCCACACATACTTTGGCTAGGGCTGCCTTGTCAGCTCCTGATTTGCGCATCATCCGAAACGCTTCTATTGTCTCATCGCCCTGGCTACTTCCGCCATCTTTATTGCCACCTGCTGCACTTTGGAAAAGATACCCAAATCTTCCTTCGTACGAGAGATCTGAATCTTCGGGCAGTGGAAACCCAATACCAGCAATCAGTTGTGTATTGCTACTTGCATTAATCGGGGCTTACTCGTCTTGCTGCAAGATGAAATAGCTCAATATCTTCCGCAATGTATTTTCAGTTACTGGCGTCCACTGTCTCTTGTTGAAACGAGAATCGAAACCCTCCTGCTCGGCCACGTAGCCAACGTCCTCTATGAGGCCGAGATCAACAGAATTTGCCCGAAGACCAAGCGTTTCACGATACTGGGCAAATGCATCCAGAAATGTGTTTCCTGCAGCATAATTGGCCTGCCCCTTGTTTCCAACAATACCGGAGATACTAGAGAGCAAAGTGAAGAAGTCCAGTGGCTCTTTTTGTTCTTGAGAAACATGATGCAGATTCCATGTTCCATTGAATTCGGCGTGAAGAGCCGTGTGATAATCATCTAGTGTCATGGTTTCAAATGGTTTGTCTCTGAGTATCATAGCCCCTTGAATGATTCCGGCAATTCGTGGTGATGCCTCCTTGAAGACGTTACTCATAAAACTTATGCTCGCAGCGTCGCCCTTGGCATCTACAACTTCGCATCCATATGCAAGGCAGTTTTTGACAATCTTCTGTGACGCAACATCGCTAATGCCACTTCTACTACAAGCGATGATATGCTTAGCTCCATGCCGCGCCATATGAATGGCCAGGGAGCCACACAAGCCCTTCAAGCCACCAACGATGAGATAGGAAGCATCAGGTCTAAGGTTGAGTTTGCGTGTTGCTGGCCTAATAGGCACCTGCGAATCTAACCCTTTATCGGAGATAACAACTTTCCCTATGTGTCGACCGCTACGAATGTAGGCTAGTGCTGCTGAAATGTCGCTGAATCCAAAGATAGTGACCGGGTGAATGGACTTCACATGGCCACCATGAACCAACTCGAAAATCTGGTCTAGCAATCTAAATAGAGCGGCACAAAAATCAGAACCTGATTGACCGAAAATCACATCTTACAGAAATAGGGGTAAAGGAAGTTCGGAGGGGAGAGGGGGGGGATGTATACCTTGAAATTAATGGATCTACGATATTTTCTGT